AACTACGCCACGCAGTCTCTTGGGTGAGTATGTTTACTAAGCAACCAAAATGGTTAACAAGACTGGATCTGGGCATGTAAAAACAAGCCTGCTGCTAACATTCCAGCCCAATCTGCTTGAAATAAGTCAGTGTTTGCACAGACCAAAATATACAACTTTTGGTGAAAATACATAGATATATATTTCTGTTCTCTTCTTCAGCACAGAACTATGAACAAGGATTTCTACTGAAGAAATATTCACATAAAATCCCACAGCACAAAAAGCTGATCCCAGCAACTAAGGATGGGCACATGCTTCCTATAGAATATATTTACTCATCATACAGTCAGCATTCTGCATCTACTGATCCCTTGTCCATGGATTCAACCATCCATGGCTTGAAAATATTGTTAAATATATAAATTCCAAAAAACAAACCATGATTTTGCTGTTTTATATAAGGGACACCATTTGACCATGCCACTATATTTAAAGGGACTTGAGTAGCCACAGATGTTTGTATCCACAGGGGATCCTGGAACCAAACTCCAGTGGATACCCAGGACCCACTGTACTATGGTATAATCCTAAACCAGAAAATGAAAGGAACCCCTTTTGTTTAAGATAGATCAAGAAAGAAACAACAGGTAATGAAGATCCATTGACTGAAGGGGGTTATGTGAAGAAAACCATAGTTTTAGTCTAAAATCCTATAACAAAGTATGTAGGAATAAGACCCATTAAATTAATTGGACTTACTTCTGAATAGATGTACAGAATTGCACTATACATGTAATACATATTTATAGTGCAGTTCTGTTTAAATGACAATATATTAAGTTGGGTAAAAATATTCAACTGATAAGAGGAATATTTTGCTCAGGTAGCCATTGAAGGGTTGGGGATACTAGTGGGCAAGGGGCTGAGATCACCATCACCCATGAAACCACTGGGGCCACAATGTTGTAATGGAATCCCCCCTACCTCTTCCACATGGCAACTGGAACAGCTCTTTATAGTACAAAAGCTAGCCATCATAGAGTTGTACCAGGATGCATGATAGAGCTTTGCCCTTCCTGCTGTAAGCAAAGGTCACCACTGCTAAATTTCAGCTGTGTGGTTTTGTGGCAGCACTGATTTGCTTGCAGCAAATGGATAGGCAGGAGAAGGGGATGTTTACGAATCCACTAATCCAACCCTCCACCATGCAGGAAAACCCAACCAAGCCACTCCTGAGGGATAGTCATCCAGTCTTTCCAAAAAAGGAAAGTCCATCACCCTGTGAACTAGTCTATCCTACTGTCCAACAACTCTTACACCAAAGAAGTTCTTCCTCATGTTTAGAGGGAATTATTGATTTGTAATTTAAAGCCAAGCAGAAAAGAGTATGGCAAATCTGATACACATTTCGTGGTATTACCAGATTGTGGTGGCTTTCTGGAAGCAAGCTGTGGATTTTATTAGGGTAGTTTTTATTAATGGGTGATGAATTCACATTTAAGGAAACAATTTTAAGAGAGTTTTCCAGTGTGGGTTCTCTGACAAACAGCCAGAGAGCCTTCAGCTGGAA